ATAGCATAGCCTGGGCGTTTTGCAGTTGATGTAGGGATTCTTTTAGGCCTTGTACTTCCTGCTTTTAAGTCCAGTATGTCTTCTTCAGAGGCCTGTGTATGTGCTGTGACTGCTGTCATTTCTGTTTTGAGTAAGTCCATGTCTGCTGCATGCATTTAATGTAATAGGTCCGTTATGTCCTGCTTTGTAGCTGGGCTTAGATTGGGTCCCATTGCTAGGGCTGCTGTGTGCGGTTGGGTTTGCGTGGCTTCTGTGGGCCTCTCTTTGGGTTCCTCATGGGCGCCTGGGCCTTCTGGTTGTTCCAGCGCTATCTTTGAGGCGGATTGCATCTGCAGTTCGGTCCCCTGCCCTGGCTGCCCCACCTAGTTGGTTAGTGTGGGGGTTTCCTGGTTGATCTGAGCTCTGCTGGGTATGGAGGGGCGCCTTATCATGCTCTGGCGGTGGTGCCGGCTGGGTATGGGCGGGCTTCTGAGACATGGCCCCTATGTCCCTGTCTCCGGTACCTTGGTGCCTTTGGGAGTGGCGTCCCATAGCCGGAGTGTGTTCCGGTGAGTTAGGGATGTCCGGCGGGTGCGTCTGTTGTATGTGTTTCGCCAGATTTCCGCGTAGGATTTCCTTGAGGCCCAGGCTTGATGGTGTGTGGTAGGCCCTGGTCTTGTGTTTTCCGCTTCTTTAGCTTCTGCAGTTGGAAGAACGGCATCGATAGGCGCAGTGTCTTGTGCTGCTGCCGTCTGAGCGGGTGTTGTGGCTGGATGGATGCGAGAAAGAGGGATATTTTGTGGATTGAAGTAGTTTGTTCTGGGAGCTGGTGAAAATGGCGTCCGTTCGTGTTGAGTTGCATGCTCCGCACTCCTCTAAATCTGTCTTTCTGTCTTTTTGAATATTATTTTGTGCACGAGTCATAGTTACTCATCACTAACAAAGGGGTTTTCTCCAAGCTGTAATAACATTGTAAGCAAAGCCATGCTGAATGCTTTATAGTGATGTCCATTCACTGGATGTTAGGTGTCTTGCCTAAACCATAAAAATTCATCCACGGGCTAGTTTTGCTCCACCATCAATCCTTCGCAATTGGCACTATGTAGTCAGGCAGCGATTGTTCTAGTAGCCTCCACAAAACCTTGACATTTCCCTCAGACTTTCAGATGTTGACCCTGATTAAAAAAAACCCACAAGATAACCTATATATCTGCTGCATAATCTATTGAGGATGACCATTCCATATCTTAAACCAAGATTGACAAAGTGCATGATGATCTTAAGGGATGGTCATTGCAAAAAAAGGTTTTTATTTATTTTATGGTAAATATTTTTTTTACATGCTCGATTTTTCTATAGGTAACGAAGAGGACATCCTTGCTGCTCTCCTTATCTACTCATTATATTGTTAAACACTTTCAAACCGCTATAAATGTCAGCAGAAGGCACAGAAAATGTTTCTGGAAGTTGTAGCGGAACTCTCAAGTTCCCCGATAACATAATTAAAAGTCCCAAAAACCCCGGTTCTGCTGTGCACCGAAAGCATTGATATCTGTCAGTAAGTCTCCCTTCCTCTATACACTCCTGTTTTGGATAGACAGGTTTTTGTTTTGTTTTTTTAATATATATATTTTAGATGCACAAATAGCTGATGAAAGATTATCCATTTGTCTGCTGGTAACCACTCCATTTCTTTTCTCCCCAAAAAGTTCAATTGTTGGTGCCTAATTTGCACATTAAAACCTGGGTTAAACATGACCAGCAGTTCAGAGAACCCCACATTCATGTGTATGGAGCTACTAACACTCTAAAAAATTTCTAAGCTCCTACTTAACATTGAAGGAGACCGAACTCTGCGCTAAAGTTCATTCTGCTTATGACGTTTGACTATAGAGATTGCATTGCTGTGTGCTCAAGTTTCTACACCTGTAAGCAAAAGGTGTTCTACCTAGCCAAATCCATGAGCTAAAAGCGGTGTCCCTAAACTTTTGGCCAGGAAATAAGGTGCATGTTGATAAAGAGCTTGCAGCCAATCATTGCTATCTCTAAAGTCGCTGGGTTATTTGATTTGTCTCCCCATTAGCTGAACTGCATCAGAGAAGACCATCAAAGTGTGAACAGGGGAAATAGAATCCGAAGTCTGCACCACAACCACTGTATTAAGGTTTAGTGGTTATGCTGCTTAGAGTTCTCCTTTGATTTTCCTCCGTTCCTCTGTAATCCTAATTAGGGGTTCGTTATAACACTATATTATTGTCTTATATAATTTTATAGGATCATTCTGAAAAACCCATTTCTTCATTTATTTAAATTAGAAAACACAAGTCGTGAATTTTTAATTACCATCCCATAGCCCTGAAATTTAATGTTTCCATTTAGAAGCAGATAGAAATAGAACGTGAATGTCTAGAAGTAAAGAGACACTCTGACTTGGCCATCTTGGAATTGAACCTGAAGATTTGTTGACCCAAGACATAATTCTGTTTCCCCCCCCAGGGGCCGCACATGTTGACACTGACTGGAACAGAAGCCACTGTGCAATCTGCATGCTAATTGTGTTCAGTTAAATAAATTCAGCTTTGACTAGAAATGCTTCTTATCCTCTGGAAATTATTTGCCTCTATAAATAGTCAGAGAATCACATTGGCAGATATAAATAGTCTTTTGTAGTATAGGAGAAAGCATTCGGCAGATTGTAGATTGGATTCTCCATATTGTTTATTGTGTATATATGGTACCTTGGAATATTTAATTTAATATATTTTAGCACCAAAATTGTATAAGGAGTAAGTAAAAGCTGCCAGTCGTTAAGACTGTCTGATAGCTGCAGCGGTTTTTGCAAATTGCTGCAGCTATTGCCATTGACACAGTAACAATTCACTTTTATTTTACGCAAACCCGAGCAATAGAAATAGTTTGGTATGATGCTTAGCCTTCATGTAAAGTGACCTGTAATTCTTCCTATTATCCAATATACTTTTTCAACTATTATAATTTTTTTTTTTTTTCATGTTTGCATTATATAGGCTGCATTAAGAATATGGCAAAACAGCAAAGGAATAAAAAAATGTTTGAAGTTCTCTTATTTCCTGAAAAACTCCAGGTAGTGCAGAATTTGCAGCAAGCTTTCACTCAACCAATAAGTGACGCTTACTGTGCTTCCTCACTGTGATTTAACTCCTCCTCCTCCAAAATGGTTTGTGAATATAGGAAGGGATTCTGGAAGTTTAATTCAGTTGTTAGGTTTCTGTTGTAGAAAGTCGTGCGAGCGTGTGCAGCAATATTTTAGAGCCAAAAGGAGAGAAAACACCCACCACTATTTAAAGGGGAACTCCAGTCCCCTAAAGCACTTAGTTTGCTGAATAGAAAAATTTGTTAAATAGAAACTGACATTTTTATAATTTAACCTTGTTAAACCCACTGGTTGTCAGTCAGATAACCGGTCCCGTTACTTTCTGACTTGGTTAACTCAGTGAAGCTAAACACGAGAGGCTGCAATTGCCCAGAGCACCCGCCTTGCAAAGACTTATCATTGAGCTGCATTGGGTAGTCAGTGATTGGACAGCCACAGAAAGTGTGGGCGGGACTAGAAGGGGAGGGCTTGTAATGACCTCAGACAAGAGACCTGCAGCTTTTACAAGTTTTTTTTATTTTTTTTATTTTTTTTACTCCCACCGAGAACATGCATGCATTTAATTATGCAATTTTTTCATTAGGTTTCATCTACATAACTGATTTTAAATTATTTCTTTTAATTTGAGCTGTGATTTGTCCCTTTTAACCTATTTTGATTGCTCATTGAGTGTTAGCTGTATACTATAAGCAGGTGACTAATTCCTCCTCTTCATTATTACAAGAAACCTTGGGTAGAAGGTTATTTTTGCAAAAAAATCTATTTTATTCATCCTTATTACTTTATATATACAAAAAAAGCTTTATAATTTCCACCAAGAACCAGCAGAAGTTTTTGTTATCTTATGGATTTTATAGTAATCCTAACTGTATGTTTTAATTATTCTCTGAATCTTTAACTATATCTTGACCCCAATTTTCATTTCGCTCCTACCCTACCCCCCGAACTAATTTTAAATGCTTTTATAATACACTTTGAATAATTTACAAGCAGCCTTCAAAACCTGGAATTATTTAAACAAATAATGGAGAGAAACACTTTTTATTAGGTGGGATCATACCAAGTGGGGCAGTACATACATGTCCCTATCCATCATGTAGTCCCATAAATTACTTCCACGTTTATATCTAAAAAGACCTTTCTGCCACATAAGATAAATAATATCTGGCCTATGTCAGAATAGAACCATCTGCCTGTTCTCTTCCTTCCCATTATTAGATCCCATATATATTTTTTTAAACACTTTTTAATGTTATTTTAAAAATTTTACATTGTTACTACGTAATAGGTGCGACTGACTCCTACTCCTTTAGTTATTGTTCAACAAAAATATTAAATAAAACCATTAAATAGCAAAGTGGTCTTTATAATCCACAAACTTGTTTACCATTTCACAGATACCTGCGATAGGATTAATATAGCTGAAAATATAGAATGGAAGAGACAAAGTCTCAATGGTTGAAGAACATGATCACCTGATTTAAGTTAGGAGCCAGGCAAATGTTTAAGTAGCCAGTAGGGATCAAAATAATATTGTTGTTGTTATTATTATTATTATTATTATAATAATATATAGCGCCAACAAATTCCATAGCGCTGTACAATGGGTGGACTAACAGACACATAATTGAGATCAGACCACTGACGTACAGGAACAGAGGGGGTTGAGGACCCTGGTCGATGAGCTTACATGCTAGAGGGAGTGGGGTATAGTGACACAAAGGGTTAAAGTAGGGGAATTAAATAGTTTGTTAAAGTAGGGGAATTAAATAGTTTGATTATCGGTCTGGTCGATATTTGGTATTTTCAGCAATATCGGTATCGGCCAATAAATATACCGATATTGCAGATAATACATAACAGGACCGCCGGGCCCATTAGAAGCCTGGGGGGCCCAGCAAGCGCTTACTTACCTTCCCAGCAGCTCCCTTCAGCTCCCCTGTCTAACTCTCACGAGTCCCGCGGCCGTCAGTGTTGCCACAGAGTGACGCAAGATTTAGACGGGGGCTGAAGGGAGCTGCTGGAAAGGTAAGTAAGCGCTTGCTGGGCCCCCACTGCAGTCCATGCCACAGGACCACCAGGGAATGCCATATCCCCCTCCCTGGCCAGGTAACAGGGAGGGGGGACTAAAAAACATATTTAAAAATAAAAATAAAAAATCCATTCCTCCCCCCCCCCCCAATTACATACCTACACAAACACACACTGCATTATACAAACACACTCTGCATTGTGTAAACACACTACACAAACACGCACTCTGCATTATATAAACAACCACACAAACACACACTCCACAAACACACACACTGCATTCAGTATATATATATATACACACTACACAAACACACTGCATTCACTATACGCACACTACACAAACACACTGCATTCACTATACGCACACTACACAAACACACTGCATTCACTATACGCACACTACACAAACACGCTGGCATGTATATTTTGTGGGGGGGGGGAGAGTGAGGGTATCGTGTGTTAGTGTGGCTTAGTGGTGTCTCTGTGTGGTATGCGTCTCCCTTCCAATGTGGGTACGTGTGGTATGTTTGCGGCATTTGGTGCATGTGTGCATTCTGGTTGTGTCAGCCACTAGGTATTGCAGTTTATATGAGGGAAGCAGTGTTGACATATACTGAGAAGGTCTTGTTAGGAAGAACAGTGCGTTATGTGAGCGGACTTAAAGAGGGTTGGTGAGTCTGATGAGAGTGAGTCTCTGACTTTAGAAAACATTCCGTCTGCGTAGTTGGTGGAATGAGAAGGAGAGGAGAGTCTCTTTATGTTGGCTGGTCGGTAGTTCCTCAAGTGGGCGATCCGCCAGGGGAGGCTCTGGAGGAGATCCGTGGGGTAAATTCCCGGATGTTGTCTGGGTTCAGCTGGGATGTGCCCTGTCTGGTTGCTGGTACCGCTTGCAGGATGACTGTTGATTGCAGGTGAGTTTCAAGCTCCTGTTAATCTTGCGCGTTATATATAGTCCCGTTGTGAGTGAATGATATGGCTCGAGGGGTGCCCCATCTGTATGGGATTTCTCTGGACCGGAGATGGTGTAGAAGGGGTTGCAGGGTTTTTCGCCAGGCTATTGTGTTCCTGGTCAAATCCGGGAATACTGTTAGCGATACCCCCTCGAACAGTAGGGGGGGTTTTCCCCGTAGTGCGGTCATGAGCAAGTTCTTGTCGGCTAGTGTTTGAAACCTCAGTATGAGGTCCGCTGTCGGTGCTCGGGGTGATTTCGGCAGCCTGAACATGCCATCAAGTTTCGTGGTTTTCACCCGCTTCAGTGGGAGCAGGACTTCGAGGAGGCGCCTGATGTAATGGGGTAAGTCTTCAAGGCCCACCCACTCTGGTGTCCCCCTCAGCTTTAAGTTGTAGCGTCTTCTCTGGTCCTCCATGATATCCAGCCTGTCATTGGTAGCGGTTTGCCATTTGACCAGGTCCGTAACTTTCTGTTCAATTACGTGAAGCCTTGTGTAATGGATGCTTGAGCTGGCCTCTGTGTGATTTTTGTCGTGGCCCCTTCAATGGCTTTCCTATAGTAGGCCATGTCTGCTGCCAAATCCTTGCGGAGTTCCGCCAGCATTACCTTGAGTTGGTCGGCTGTGACCAGGTCCCCAGTGGTTGGGGGTGCCTTTCTGCTTTCCCGGTGGGTGCCTGTAGGATGCTCCTTCTAGGATGTCTGTGGCGAAATCCTCCGAGGAATATGAGGAGAGGTCGTCGTTCTGCGCCATTTTGGGCCATGCGGCCTGTTGCGAAGTCTGGAGCATTTTGCCAATTTCCCTCCCATGGTGGCTTTTTTTGGCTTTTGCCTTTTTAGATTTTCTGCCCATGTTTCAGGCCGTGCCTGGGTCGTTTGTGGGGTAGTTTGGGCCCGTTTTCCGCCATATATCTCTATTTTTATAAAGGTCAGAGAGACGGAGCTCCGAGAAATGCGTCCTCTCAGTTGCTCTGTTAGCTCCGCCCCCCCCCCCTTAAAAAAAATAAAAAATAAATAAATGTACAGAATATCGGTAAGTTATCCGCTATCGGCCTGAAAGTTCACAGATTATCGGGATCTGTATCGGCTTTAAAAAAATCCGTATCGGTCGATCCATAGTAGCCACACATAACCCACTTTTTCTCCCACATACCTAATGAACTATGCTCATAATACCACCTCCCCCACACATATCACATGCGTAAATGCATAACTTGCAAACCATCAGATTGTAGATCTCAGTTTAACCCAGTGATTTGATGCAGGAGAAACACCTTTTTGGCAAGTAGCCCCTGTGTATTTATTTACAGTAAATCTATATTGTACAGCTTTACAAAACATATGCATTAAAGAGTTGTTACAACTCACCCTGGTGTATCTCGTTAATGCTCGGTAGAATGACTGTCTTTTCGATGTCTCGCATTGTGTCTGATGTCCCAGAATTCTGAAGCAAATAAAAAGAGGACACAGACTTGCAAATAATTAATGAGCAGTTGATTCAGGCTTAGATTGCATTATTAATAAACAATAAAAATGCACAAAGAGGAATTTGTATGAAATTGTGGCAGCAGTCGAGGAATGAAGGTTAAGGTATAGTAAATTGAATGATTTCTATTTGAACATTGATCAAAGCTTTGGTTGGCTCCAGATCTCTTGCTGGATACAGACAATGCGAAGTCATTTACTAGAAAAATTAGAAAGATTTCTTAATATGAAGGTGATGGGAAGCTTTTCTTGATAAGCTCTGCAGAGTTTAAAGAGTGTGTACCTCCAAGTGGTAGGACAGTCTTTTTGGCACACTTTCTTTCTCTGCCTCTTAACCCGCTGCCCCTTGTATCTGGAATTTCAAAATGTTTTGTCAGTGTAGCATAGTTATATAGTAATATGCAATATGCAAGGGTATATCAGTGTGTAGCTATCTTGGCTCTCCATAGTCATAATGTCTCCCAACAATACTGAATCTCTGGAGTCCCAGATTGGGAGCCTTGTCCAGCTGCCCCAGATTGTTCCATTGTTTAAAAAAAAAAAAAAAATGTCTTCAAAAAGCACAGTGCGTGTCCATTTTGGGCCTTTCTGCCCATGTGCCGATTCAGGCGGCTGGCAGGGCCACGTACTGGCAAGATGCACAGGCAGTCTGGACTGACGTGCCTTGCCTGTTGTCACTCAGTATTGGGAGAGATGCAATAAAGTAAAGTGTGATCTACAGGTGTGTCAGAGCATCACCGCAATATTACTCCCACTTATTGTGAAGTGTGTAGGGTTGCCAATATTACTCCCACTTATTGTGAAGTGTGTAGGATTGCCAATATTACTCCCACTTATTGTGAAGTGTGTAGGATTGCCAATATTACTCCCACTTATTGTGAAATGTGTAGGATTGCCAATATTACTCCCACTTATTGTGAAGTGTGTAGGATTGCCAATATTACTCCCACTTATTGTGAAGTGTGTAGGATTGCCAATATTACTCCCACTTATTGTGAAATGTGTAGGATTGCCAATATTACTCCCACTTATTGTGAAGTGTGTAGGATTGCCAATATTACTCCCACTTATTGTGAAGTGTGTAGGATTGCCAATATTACTCCCACTTATTGTGAAGTGTGTAGGATTGCCAATATTACTCCCACTTATTGTGAAGTGTGTAGGATTGCCACTATTACTCCCACTTATTGTGAAGTGTGTAGGATTGCCAATATTACTCCCACTTATTGTGAAGTGTGTAGGATTGCCAATATTACTCCCACTTATTGTGAAGTGTGTAGGATTGCCAATATTACTCCCACTTATGTAGGATTGCCAATATTACTCCCACTTATTGTGAAGTGTGTAGGATTGCCAATATTACTCCCACTTATTGTGAAGTGTGTAGGATTGCCAATATTACTCCCACTTATTGTGAAGTGTGTAGGATTGCCAATATTACTCCCACTTATTGTGAAGTGTGTAGGATTGCCAATATTACTCCCACTTATTGTGAAATGTGTAGGATTGCCAATATTACTCCCACTTATTGTGAAATGTGTAGGATTGCCACAGAAAACCACTGTAGCAATGTGCAGGGAATAACTGTATCACGGAGCACCACAGCAATAAAACGCACAGAACACTCCGTACTCACACCGTAGTCTTTCTCTCTTCCAACCTCCCAATAAACAATGTTCCTCTCTTACCACACTGGAAATTTCTGGGGCCATGCAATATTTGGTTTGTAAAAAAAAATTGGAAACCTGGCAACTTGTCTTCAAAGATACAGGTGTAAACAAAGTATCCAGTTGAGCACAAACAAATCAGCCTGGCAGGGAAAGGAATATACCGCTTACAAAGCATTTTGATCTGTCAGTTTATTATCCTTTGGAAATGCCCAAACTATAAAAGCATAATATAGTTCGGTAATAAATTAAACTTTGCTCGTAAATACAAAAATAACTTTTGTGGACTTCATACAGTTTTAGTTTGCTTTAAGTGGAATGTTTGTCATTTTTTTTTTTCCCCCCCTCTCTCCCTGGAAATCGTTTTTTCGGGATAAAAGCTGTACCAAATAAATTACATTGAAATAGTCTATTTTGTGACGCATATTACTGAATGTGTGTCTAGTAAGTAACACTGCAGCAAGTCTTACTGAAAACTAACTGCTCCGCTTCAATACTTAACTGGTGACTGTATAATCTCTCCAGTAAAGGGTTCACCGACGTTATGAGTTTTTCTATCTTTTAAATAACAAAAACCAATTGAGCATTGAGGTGAATGAATAACCGCAAGATGTGCGTTAAAGGGCCCAATTCTGTATCATAGGTGTTCTGTAAAGATATAATGCCCTAGTCCTTCACTATTACCAGGCAGTGTTCAAACTACAGGAGAGTCATCCAGACCATTTAGGCAAATGTGGATATAAAAACGAGATGGGAATAAATTAATGTTCTGTGCTTTTGTACGTCTTTAAATGCTCAGTGCAGTGTGTGAACGCTCCTGTACTGTATGCAAATATTCTCTCTCCACATTAACAAGAATGGGAACTCTGCTTCCTCTGCAGATCTCATAAGGGAGCGGAGCTCCCACTGCACTTA